TCACCAAGCAGTTATTAAACACCTACTCTGCTCCAGGTGAGCAAGGTAACCCTGACTGACTCCTGCCCTCGTGGAGCCCACACCACCTTGGGAAGATGGGTGAACAAGGTAGGAGAAGTGCCACATCAAGTACTCAAGAGACTCAACACTGAGAAGGAGCACCCAACCTAACCCAGGTCCCTAGTGAAGCAACCTTGATGCCAAGTCCCAGAGGATAACTGGAAGTTAGGCATATAGACAGGAGGTGAAAAAGAGTTTCAGTCAGAGAGCATGTGCCTAAGCCCAGAAGTGTGAGAGATCACGCTGAGTTTGAAGAACTGAAAAGCGTTCAGTATACATGCAACCCTGAGGACAAAGGAGCTACAGTGATGAGAACTAGGAAATAAGAGCCAGGGAGGGAAGGGAAACTTCCGAAGGACTTGGGACTCGGTCAGAGGACAAACAAGCTAACAACTTGGCACATAGTCAGCTTCTTTTACAAAGAGCAGAGTGATATCAGTTCTATTTGTGCCAAAGAGGGCAGAAAAAATGCCATGCTGATGGGAAAGGGACACCACGGAAGGCTTCATGGTGGAGAAGGCATTTAAGCTGTGCCTGGTTGATAGACTTTCTGTTGAAAGGGGAAGCGGAGAGAGAAAGAGGAACCATCTTGGAAACAGGATGGATGATGTAGAACCTCATCCAGCTCTTTATAGACCCTCTGGAGAGGCCAGGGAAATATTCATTGGAGCAGGGCTAATGCAACATGATCCTGCTAGGCTTAAAAGTCTGTGGGAGGTCTAGGTTGTGAATGAAGTAACCCACAATGACACCATGAAAGCAGAAGACAGAGACCTGTTCCTTGAAAGTCTCCCATTCATTGGTACCAGCAACTAGTAAACGAAATCACTTAAGTCTTCAGCAGTATGTATGGCACACCTACTATGTAGGTGGCAGGTTCTGTATTAGGCACTAGAAATTCAGTGGAGAACAAATAAGGATGTGGGCTACCCTCATGGAGACTAATTCTGGAAGGGAAAATATTAATGCAACAGAAGAGACCTAAATAAATGAATAAGACCTATGAATGGGTATGTGGTACTATGAGAAGGCAGAGTTCCCAGGTAGCATTAGTGGTAAAGAACCCGACTGTCAATGCAGGAGATGTAAGAGACATGAGTTCAATCCCTGTGTTGGGAAGATCCCTGGAGGAGGGCATGGCAACCCACTCCAGTATTCTTGCCTGGAGAATCCCCTGGACAGAGGAGCCTGGCAGGCTACAGTTTACAGAATTGCAAAGAGTCGGACATTACTAAAGCGATTTACCACACACGTACACACGCACTATGAAAAACCAGGAGAGAATTGCTGTCTCCTGGAGAGCCCAGGCAAAAATCTTAATGGTGCTACAACTGAGACAACAGTCTGAAGGATAAATAGGTAACAAAACAGAGTAGGGAGGGAGAGTGTGCTAGGCACAGGAACCGTGTGTGCAAACCTCTCCAAGAAGAAGATCAGGAAGACTGGAAGGAGAATCAGGAGAGCTTGAGACAAAATAAGAGGCTGGTCAGCAGGGTCTTATGAAGCAACATAATGATTGTGGAGTGTATCCTAGCATCAGTGCAGGTCCTTGAAGTGTGTATAACATGGGCAAAATTGTAGCAACATACCCCAAGAGTTCTGGGTGTGCAGAGAACCAGAGAGGAAACAGAGACACACCACTCATTGACCTTGTTCTTTATTCACCTGACCTCATTTAACTTTGACAATGACTCTGCAAGTTTCTAGTCCAGGGTTTTGAAGAGAAACCTGAGGCTCAAAGAAGTTAAATGATTTGCCTATGTCCACAGTTTGTTAAGACAGTTGTTAAGACAGTCCAAATGACAGTCTCTATAATCCCTAATCTTTCTAATGGGAATGAGCATAGTCTCCCAGAAGAATGGCCAGAAGTTAGTACAAAGTAGGACTTGGATAGCCAGAAGGGAAGTGAAAAGGGTAATCCCTTAAGGGTAATCAGCAACATGGAGAAGAAAAAAAGAATGGCCTGAAAGAGAAGCAATGCAGGAACTTCCTGCATAGAACACAAAGAGGGGGAAAAAGACTAGAAGGAAATGTACAAAGCTCACAGAAGCTACCTCTAAGGGTTATGGGTAATTTCTACTGTTTAACTTTTGCTTGACTGTGTTTTCTTAATTTCCCATAATGAAAATTTGTTTCTTGGTGCACTGGGAAGACCCAGAGGGATCAGGTGGAGAGGGAGGTGGGAGGGGGGACCGGGATGGGGAATACATGTAAATCCATGGCTAATTCATTTCAATGTATGACAAAAACCACTGCAATGATGTAAAGTAATTAGCCTCCAACTAATAAAAATAAATGGAAAAAAAAATTAAATTAAATTAAAAAAAAAAAGAAAATTTGTTTCTTGCATAAACAAGGGAAGTACTAGCGGTTATATTTTCAGGGGATCATGTAAGGTTTTTCCATTCTCCCAGGAAGTTACTATATCATCTTTATTATTTCATCCTCCTATGGATGGAGGACGAAATGCCTGGCACATAGTCGGTGCTCAATAGAATAAGTTAAGGGATAAAATAGTGGAGATAGGATTAAGGATGGTAGAGAGCCAAGTCTGGTGTTTTGTTCTGAAACAGTTTTCTGGTCCTCATGTCAAAAATCAATTAGCCTCATAACAAACTGCTGAAACTGTTAATTTACCTGCGGTCATCTTCATAGCACCGACTGACCATACCATCAACATATGCCAGTCACAGCCAGCAAATGCCTCAGCAAGTTTTAATTGAACTCTTTCAATGTACTCAGCCCACATAGAATCTATTGTGGAATAGATACAAGAGCCGTATAAACCGGGGCCACTTGCCAGAGCAAATATTTTGGTGCTGAGTGTTTTGGCTGCATCTAACGAGGCGAGACCTAAGAACACTCGCTCACAAGGCTGTCTCTTCTAACCAAATGGCACCACGTACTATGATGGTATAATATTAGTGTTCTTAATCATGGAAACACTGGCATCTGCTTCGGCGGAAGCTCCCTCCCAGATGGCATGTCCCACTGTTTTTGTCGTCTGGAACAGTGTGAGGTTTCTTAAATGGTTTTAAGCTTCCAAGTCATCTTGCACATAATGGCAGCCTGTTAATTAAGTGGTCCCTTTGTGATTGCATTTGATAAATATGAGATGAGAAGGGTTTATCAAGATGTGAAGAAGAAAAGAAGGCAAAGCAACAGGGAAGAGCTCTTGTGGGCAGAAAGACCTTTGTGTGGGCATCTTCCAGTGGGCTTCAAGGGACTTGGGATGGCTTAAGATATGCAGAAAGGAGAAGGCTGGGGTTCATAAGCAGAGCTGCCATCTCTACCTGGTGGACGTCCAGCCAGATGCAAATGGTGTGTGAGTTCATTGTGGCAGCCACACCTAGCCCATCTCTTTCCACAAAGGCAGGCAGGGAGGTGGAAGCTTTCCAGATCTTTGAGTGGAGTGATTCCAACCACTCGCCAGCTACACTGCCAGGCGCCGTTTTGACGCTAGTTGTCAAGATTCGGGAAGTGCAGCTCCAAAAAAGGTATCTGCTTTGGAAGCAGTGTTCTGTATTCTTGGAGCAGCAGATGACTGGTGACAACACACAATTAAATATAAATGCTCGGCCCAAGAACTCAACTTGGAGGGTTGGTGAAGTTTCAGGTCTGACTTGCTCAACTTGGCCTACTCCAAAGACCAGGCAAGGTTCTGCAAAATCAGCACTCCAGGGAATTGGGCCTAACGATAAGTGGAGGCTTCAGTTGCACATAGATCTCCTTCAGCCACCCTCCTGCCTTCAGGCAGAAATACATCAGCTGCAGGCTAGAGAAAAGGATCTGTGATACCTAATGACTTGCTTGTCCTGTCTACTGGTTCAGTCTTAGTTCAGCTATTCATGCAAAGATTATCTATGAGGTGTCTTCTAGGAAGAAGACATATATCTGGGGATGTAATGACTGTGCTGCTGTGCTCCTGTCCTTAGCAACTTACAGTCAAGCAAGCTCATGATTCTGTGAGCACGTGAGGGCAGAGGCTTTCCCTATGTTTTTATACTCCCAATACCTACCCCTACCCTGCTTCCCTGGTGGCTCAGATGGTAAAGAATCTGCCTGCAGTGTGGGAAACCTGGGTACCATCCCTGGGTCGGGAAGATCCCATGGAGAAGGGGATGGGTACCCATTCCAGTATGCTTGTCTGGAGAATCCCATGGACAGAGGAGCCTGGTGGGGTACAGTCCCTGGGGTCACACAGAGTCAGATATGACTGAGTCACTAACACTAATACCTACCCAGTTCCTGTTGCATCAGTCAGTCTGTCAGTTCAGTCACTCAGTCGTGTCTGACTCTGAGACCCCATGAATCGCAATACGCCAGGCCTCCCTGTCCATCACCAACTCCTGGAGTTTACTCAAACTCATGTCCATTGAGTCGGTGATGCCATCCAGCCATCTCATTCTCTGTTGTCCCCTTTTCCTCCTGCCCCCAATACCTCCCAGCATCAGGGTCTTTTCCAGTGAGTCAACTCTTCGCATCAGGTGGCCAAAGTACTGGAGTTTCAGCTTCAACATCAGTCCTTCCAATGAACACCCAGGACTGATCTCCTCTAGGATGGACAGGTTGGATCTCCTTGCAGTCCAAGGGACTCTCAAGAGTCTTCTCCAACACCATAGTTCAAAAGCATCAATTTTTCAGTGCTCAGCTTTCTTCACAGTCCAACTTTCACATCTATACATGACCACTGGAAAAACCATAGCCTTGACCAGATGGACCTTTGTTGGCAAAATAATGTCTCTGCTTTCCAATATGCTATCTAGGTTAGTCATAGCTTTCCTTCCAAGGAGTAAGCGTCTTTTAATTTCATAGGAGGTTCTTAATAAGTGCTTGCTGAATGACTGCATGAATGAACACTATTTCCCACTGCCTCCTGGGAGGCAGTTAATAGTTAATATTGTTTTATATCTTTCCTAACTTTCACCTCCTGCACTCGGTAGTACTTATTTTTTTGCTTTTGTGGTTATACAGAACAGCTGTTTCTTAACTTCTGTACTCTAATGCCTGGAAATGGTTAATAATTCACCTTTTTGCCATCACCCTTCCAGTTCCCTCTGGTCTTTCCCTGGTGTCAGCATCTGCTCTTGGTCACCTGAAATAAGAAAAATAATTTGTTTTGGCATCTAGTGATCCTTTACAGTTTGCAAAGGTTTTAACTTGTTAAGTATGATTTCAAGAACTGTGAGAGAACCCCTAAAAGGCCCCAATATCACCCTGACTGCATGCACCCAAATACCACCCTTGACCCACCCCCCTTAACCTTAAAGTCCAACATCAGCAGGTTTAAACTCTCATTCCATGTAAGATAAGATTTAGAGACTACCTCCCCTAAAACAAGCATCACATTGACAATCACATTTTTTTTTAACACAGTAGTGTAAACTATACCAGATCCTGTGCTGAAGGTGGATTATAACACAGTGGAAAGAAAGCTAGAAAAGCACAGGCAAGTCCAGATAATTGGCCCCATCCAGACCTGCCCAGCCACAAATCTCTGAACCACAGCAGAGATGTTCAGCAGTTACTAATATGTTTTTATTATTGCTATTATTATTACAGCAACAACTACTACTATTACCATTAGTGTGTTTCTACTATCTAAACACGAGTCCAGCAAATTTCAGCTTCCTTTGTGACATATGAGCTCAACTGTCAATTATGTTTTCACAGCTTTTCACAACTGGGCTGCTCCTTTTGTTTTTATTCACTTCAAGTGTCAACAGATGGTCTCTTAAAATATTCACAAACTATCAAAGGGAAAGGTTTTGATGTCTAGTTAACTTAAATAGAACTGGAACTAAGGAGGAAGGATTCCTTCGGGCGTAATAAGCACAAGACATAGCTGTGGTCTAAGAGAGACATTTAAGTCTTTGTCTCTTAACCTGTGTCTTCTCCTTCCCAAGGAGTGGAGACCCTCAGGTCAGTGGCTGGTTTTGGAAGACCTTGTGAAAATTGGTTAAACTTATTGTCACACGTTCCAGTGGTGAGCCCGCAACATCCTGCACTCTGAGCACTTCCCCTGCCTCCACAGGGAGATTGCCTTACTTCTTCACTATGGCAACTGCCCCCCACCCCCACCCCCCAGGGTGGCTGTCTCCATTTCACACAGCTCCCCTGTAGAAAAAAGTTGATAAGAGGCTTTCCCACTGGTCAGGTGCTCCTGCCTCCTATCCATTACCCAGTCTATTTGCCTGGCTTCTGAGCTCCTGCCATCCACATTCCATGTATTTCTTGACTCCTCATGTCTGGTCTGCTTGGATTTCTCTTTTCTTGATGTTCCTTTGATACATGCTGCCCCTTTGCCTGATTCCCCCTAACTTCCTACCTAGCCTCTGTAAGCCATCATGACCATGTCTCCCCCAACAGAAGAAATACAGAGCCATACCTTCCCCAGCATCTCCAGGAAATGAGATGCTGGAGAAGATTCTTGAGAGTCCCTTGGACTGAAAGGAGATCAAACCAGTAATACTAAAGGAAATCAACCCTGCATATTCTTTGGAAAGACAGATGCTGAAGCTGATTTTCCAGTACTTTGGCCACCTGCTGTGAAGAGCCAGCTCGTTGGAAAAAACCATGATGCTGGGGAAGATTGAGGGCAGGAGAAGTGAGTGACAGAGGATGAGATGGTTGGATGGCATCTCCAACTCAATGGACATGAGTTTTAGCAAACTATAGGAGATAGTGAAGGACAGGGAAGCCTGGCACACTGCAGTCCATGGGCTTGTGAAGAGTTGGACATGACTTAGAGACTGAACAATAGCAATGACAACAAAGCAGTCTGGCTGAAAACTTTTGGACAAGAAATAGGTCACAACTTTTCACAAACAGAGCCTTGTTCTTTCTTATTATCCAGTCCAGGGCCTCAGCTCTTCCTCACATGATCACTGAGGCTTCTTTAGTCCTGACCAGCCTTCCTGGTAAGATGGAAGACACTGAAAATGGCAAATCCATAGAAGAAGTGGAGTTTCGACTTCTCCCCTCTGCCTTGCTCAAAGGGACACAATTTTCTCCAGAAATGTGAAAGGGGATTTTTTAAAAAATAGACTTTTAGAGCAGTTTTTGGTTCACAGCAAAGTTGAGCAGAAACACAGAGTCCCCGTGTATACCCTACCCCACCCATGCACAGCCTCCTCAACTATATACATCCCACACCAGAGTGGAACATTTGTTGCAGTTGAAGAACTTGCATTAATACATCATTATCAAGGAAAAAAAAAGAAACAAAATACACCATTATCATCAAAGTTCATAGTTTACATTAGGGCTCATTCTTGGTGGTGTGCGTTCTATGAGTTTTAACAAATATATACTAACACATCTGCCATTACTGTATCATGTGGAACAGTTTCACAGTCCTAAATATTCTCTGTGCTTTACCTATTCATCCTTCCATCCCCTGTGACCCCTGGCAACCACTGATCCTTTCACTGTCTCTATCATTTTGCCTTTTCCACTACATCATATAATTAGAATCATACAGTAGGTAGCCTTTTCCTATTGGCCTCTTTCACTTAGTAGCATGCATTTGAATTTCTCCATGTATTTTCATGGATGGATAGTAATAGTCCATTGTCTGGATGTATCACAGTTTATTGATCCATTCACACGAAAGGCATCTTGTTTCCACTTTTTGGTAAATATGAATAAAGTTGCTATAAACATTCATGGAGAATATTGTTTTTAACTGTATTTCTAATCAATGATTTCTAGATAAACGAGGATGAGTTACAACAAACATATGTGACTCAGTAAGTAGGATACATAGCCAACCCAAAGCCTCCCAAACACCTGCCCCCTCAAATTGTCTGTAGATAAGTCTCTCAAGGAGCTTGTAGAAGTCAGATTTTTTTCTATATTTTTATTATTTGAATATAATTGCTTTACAATGCTGTTAGTTTCTGCTGTACAACATGTATCCACCATAAGTATACACACACCCCCTCCCTCTTGAGCCTCCCCCCTTCATCCCACCCCTCTAGTACATCACAGAGCACTGAGCTGAGTTCCCTGTGCTACACAGCAGCTTCCTACTGTTGGTTATTTTACAGATGAGACCATCTGTGTTGCTGGGACCATCTATGTTGCTGGGAATAGGTATTTAATCCTGCTTCCCCAGTTTGTCTCACCCTCCCTTTCCTCCTCTCCCCAGTGTCCACATGTCTGTTCTCTATGGAAGACATAGACTCCCACTCCCAAAGTCTGATTCAGTCAGAAGGGGAAATCACCAAGTAGAACAAACATAGGATTAACCTCCAAAAGGAAAGAAACAATGGAAAGTTAAACTATCATTTGCACCAAACAGGATCATTGTGTACATTGAGGAGTTTGGAGACTAATAACCAAAACTCATCTGATGGAGACATTTTGTTCTTCTCTGAACCTCTTGGGGAAATGACATGGTGGCTAAAAGAATTGTTGATATGTACTATCCTCTCCCATTAAAAGGAGCTAAAAAAGCCCTGGGCACCAAGATGTGAACTATTTCCTTCAGGGTAGAATGGAGCCACTAAAAATAGCCTTGGAAAATAAGGAGTTGTAGAGGTTCAACAAGGAAAACAAATCAGAAATAAATTTGGCACCAAGAAACAAAAGAGGAGAAGGAGACGAACTCTCACAAGAAATAAGGGAGAGAGAGGCTATTAGCTTGAGTGCATAAAAACAGGTACATCTTTCCCACCCACAGAGCTGCTGGCTGGCATTCCTGCAGCATAAATCAGTCCTTCCAGAGGGGAGGAAGATGGGTCAGGATCAGCCAGGATAGGCTAGGTTAGTCCAGGGTAACAAACAACCCCTCAAATCCCAGGGCTTCAAAGCACAGTGGGTTTTTTCTCATTAAAACCGCCTGTCCAGGGTGGGTGGGTTTGGTGGGTTTACAGTCTCTCCCTGTAATCAGTCAGGGACCCAGGCTGATAAAGGCGTCATCTCCCCATGTGCTTCCAGGATCATTGTAGAGGTCGGGGGTGTTGCGCTGTTAGGCTCTGCCAATTGAATGCACCAACCTGGAAATGATGCATAGCATCTTCACTGATGTTTCACTGGCCAGAGCATCACATCGCCCTGCTTGTGTTGAAGTGGATTAAGGAAGTGAAGAAATATCATGTGCCCAGGAGGAAGAAAATGAGAAAAAGTGTAAACAACTCTGCTGGCCACTGACAGAGGAGCGTGGTAGGCTACAGTCCATGGGGTCACAAAGCATCGGGAACAGGCTTTTCAAATGTCCTTGAGTGTGTACTGAGCCTCATTTCCTCTCTGCAAGAAAAAGGACAATGTAGTAGTGAACAGCTGAGGCCCTGGAGTCAGGCCAACCCCTACCAGCTGTGTGACCTTGGGCAAATTATTTCTCTCTCCGGACCTCACTTTCCTCAGCTGTCTAAGGTAGACGACAATAGCACCTACCTCATGGGGTTATTGTGAGGATTAAATAAGAACATATGAGAAAAAAGCTTCAGGCCAGAGCTGCTTAAACTAGTCTGTGCCAGCAAACAACTCAGGGAGCTTGTCTACCTGCATTTCTGATTCAGAAGTCTTCCTTGAGGCCTGAGATCTTGCATTCCCAACAAGCTCCCAGTGATGCCTATGTTGCTGGTTCATGGACCATCCCTGAGTAGCAAGGATTTTAGAGCAAATGGTGTTCAGACATGGTAGATTATTCTTCAAACTGGATTGAAGGATTCCAAAGGTTCTGCTGCCCCTGCCCTTGATGAATGGAAATTACAGCTGCTTGTTGGTGAAAGTTTGTGTGTCTGATGCTTCCAGAGACAAATGTTCCTTGAAGGCTGATGGAGCAGGTGTTAGAATCAGGAGGCCTGGGTTGGTATTCAAATTCTGCTACTCAGCAGTTCTGTGGTTTGCATGAGTTATAGAAACTCTCTGAACATCTGAATCTACAGCTGTAAAGTGAGCATAATAATACAGATTCACCATTTGTCATCTGTGATTTCACAATCCAGAGAGCTCTGGATTCTTCAAGTTTCTTCACTAAGTTTGGCACACTGTGACCTGGTGGCAAAAGCTGACCTATACTGACATTAGGCTGTTTATAGGTTTTATTTTATGCTTCTATGACTATCTCTGTGTTTCATTACAGAAATATTGAATAGGTTTGATAATTAAACACTGTTGCAAACCCTTGGATTTAGAATAATGTATAACGGGTGTACCATCTACTTTTCCAAAAAACTAAAATCTCTGATTTGGTGACTTCCCTGGTGGTCCTGTGGTCAAGAATCCACCATCCAATGCAGGGACATGGGTTCGATCCCTGGTCGGTTAACTAAGATCCCACGTGCCATGGGGTAACTCAACCCTCACACTGAAATGAGGAGCCTGCATGTAGCAACAAAGACCCCACACAGCCAAAATTTTAAAAAGAAAGAGGGAACTCTGATTTCTGAAACACACCTGGCCTCAAAAGTTTTAAAGCAGACACTGTAGACCTGATAGGAGAAAGGATAATGTGCTTGTAAGATACTGAACCCCATACCTAACATAAAGTAAGTGCTCAACAAACAGGACTTACTACTGAAGTTGTTGTTCATCCAGAGGGAAAAGGAATTTGAGAGACAAGGTCTGTGGGTCCCCTAAAGACAGACAGGATGGGATCAAGTTTGTCCTCATGTTTTTAGCCCATGATTTGTCTCCTGTTTTCTCCTGGAAAAAAAAAAAAAAAACAAATTTTACCATGAGGGTGCAGATCGGGAGATGGAACAAAAGCAAAACTCCGGCAGGTGGAAGGAGCTCTCACTGTGCCGGCGGAGGCAGTCGGCAGGAACTCAGCTTTGCAGGAAGCCAAGGATAGTCACTTTCCTTGAGGCCTCTTTGAATACACTGTTGAGGGCTGTTGCCTGAGCAAAGGACTTGAGTCCTTACCCTGCCACTTACCTGCTGGGGGCACTTGGGATATCTGTCTTCACAGCTTTCTTAGATGATAACGGGGCAATAATGCAATCCCTGCTCCAGCTGCCTTATTGCAGGGGCCATATTAAAAGTCACAACTGTGAATGCATTTTGAAAGGGAAACTCCGTGTTCACAGGTTGAGTATAATTATTCGTTTGACTACAAGCAGGAGATCATTGAGAGTACTGACATCACACAGGGAACTCTGCTTAGCACATTCTTTAATCACACTTCTGCTCTCACCTCTAATGGCATTGTTATTTGCACTTGGCTCCCTCACCTTCATCACCGCCATTTGTGCTTGTTAATTAAGGCCAGCGTGATTGAGTTTTCACAAGATTAACTGAGCTGCTCTGGCCCTGCCATTGCTTATAGACAACCGAAATCAAGGCTTTTGAATATTGCTATTTGGACTAACACATGACAATTATTTGAAAGAAAACAAGTATAAACAGGACCCAGATTTGAGATTTGTCCTTCTCACTTTTATTGTTAGCTGTGTCTTCAGACTTTTTGGCCAATGACTTTCTTACTATCTTCACGTTCCATGGTAAAAAGCACTGGTTTTGGGGTCAGAGAGACCAGAGTGAGACCCAGTCCAGATTCTTCTGCTGCCTTGCTGTGTATGTTGTCTAGCAAATAGTGGAGTTCTTTGAGCCTCAGTGTCCTCATTTTAAAATGGAAATAATTAGAGCTAGCTGGCATGTGTTCTTGTAAGGTTTAAGTACATAGATAGGATGTTAAATTTAAATTTCTATTGTCTAAAATTCAGTTAAATCTCCCACACTGAATAATGTAAGTTACTCCTGTCTGCTAAACAGGGGTGCTAGTTCCCTGGGGCAGAAACAATCCAGCAACAGTAACCTCATGAACCAGCAAGGGAAAAAAACAATGGAAGTTTAAAAGGTGCTGAAAGAGTCTACAAAGAGATTTTGTTCCATATCCCCTCCCCAGCTCAGGACTGACCCTTCATAACCCAAATGTCTTGGAGGGAAGAATGCTGCCAAGAGAAACATTTGCACAGGTTAGAGGCACCTGGAAGAAGCTGAGGCAGACACTTATACCTGACCATGTCTTCACAAAGGTGCAGAAACACAGAATCCAGTGCTATCTTGGGGCTAGGGCCGATAACAGTGGGAGGACTCCTGGGACAGCATGGCACCCTTTCGGTGGCATTCATGATCATCAGGCTGGTTTACAAAAGACGGGAGGTTGGGTGGAGACACAGCACACTCAGGCCAGGAGGCAGGACTTGGTAGACAACAGCCTGCCTATTGCTAAGGCAAGAATTTGGGAGTGCCCCATGGGCCAAGGGAATGCTGCAGAAGTCAGCGGGGCCTGAGCCCTCAGTAAAAGGCTCTAGCGCAGACAACCAGGGCAAGAGCCAAGAATGTTGCAGGAGATCAGCCTGAGTGCACAACCAGGGCTTCTGAGAACCTACAAGTGTGCCCATGAGAACACCTAGTAGGCACCTGCCAAAGGGCACTGATTCAAGCAGTCCTGTAAAGGGTCCCTTTTCCCTTCATCCCCACCTCTACTCTGACCCTGAGAAAGCCAACCAGTCGCAGGGACAGAAAAGAAAGGTAAGGATAAGTGAAAAAAGAGATTACACGGTCCCACAGTCCCCACTGCAGATCTCTATCGTTGGAGTTGCGGGGTGGGGAGGCAGTGTTGAATGAGATGAGATATTGAGATACTGAACGGTAAAATATTTATTTATTTTGGCTGCACCAGGTCTCAGTTGCAGCACATGGGATCTTTGTTGCCACATGTGGGATCTTCAGTTGTGGCCTGCATTCTCTTAGTTGCGGCATGTAGGATCTAGTTTCCTGATCAGGGATGGAACATGGGCCCCTGCATTGGGAGTCTTAATTCCTGGACCACCTGGGAAGTCCTGAGATATTGAAGTTTTGACCTCATGTCCAGGGGACCATTTAACACCTGAACTGAGTGTAAACAAATGAGACAGAACTTGTTTTCATAACTTAAACTGATGAGAAAGCAACAGATGGAACTGTCCAAGATGTCATCAAAGGATCTACAGAGCATTGGGGGTGCAGCGTTTGGAGGGCTAAAGAAATCGTCTTCTTGGTTGTGCCTCCTTTGAGTTCAGATCACTCAATAAATTGGGTACATAAATCAAGTGCTTAACTCAGGGACTGCTACCTAGCTCAGTTGTCAGTGATTACTACTATTATCTTTATCTTAACATTCACTGCAAGCTGATTTATGCCTTTTAGTCAGTGTACAGAAACACAGTACACCTAGTAAGTAAGAAGATGGAGAAATTTCTTACTTGGCTTTAAAAAATTTAGAAAGCTCCTGTCTTCACGGGGAAAATCAGAACCACCTACAGAAACAGGCTGCTGTGTAGTCCATCAATGTATTGTAATTCAGAGCTGCAAAGGCCCTTCTCACACCTCAGAACATCAGGGTGATATTGTGTCTGTCACCAGCTTTAGCCACAGAATTGGAGCAAGAGGTTACTGATGTGACTGGTTGTCTTCCCAACGCCTGGTTCAGGTGTAATGAAAGTCGGACACTGTGGGCCTCCCATCAGAACACGGTCCCCAGGATGAGGCTCCCTTTCATTGTCTCTCCCTTATCAAAATCTTCCTGTCCTAGGGCTCATTTCTCCTGGCCCTGCTCTCTGCTTTCCTAGAATGTCTGATAAACCAAGCCATTTGTTGACAGAGCTTCAAGAGGCTGAAGGCTCAAATGTGAATCCTGTTCTGCCGTTTACTATCTAGGATCCCTGGGCAATTTTCTTTCTTTCACTTGGCTTCTGAATTTCCATCTGCAAAATGGGTGTTGTAATGCCTACCCTATTTATCTCACAGGGTTATGCTGGGATCCAATTGCAACTGTCGATGAGAGGGTTAGGAAAGCTTTAAAGCACCATATAAGTAACTTTGAGAAACTCAGGTGTGTAATGTCCTCATTCATTAAGTCCACATAACATTCTGCATGTGAATAGACTGGACTCCAGTAGATTTCAGAGGTGGAAATTCTAGCAATGTGATAGGGTCAATATGCAAAGTATATTTGACAAACTTCAATCTGTCCCACAAACTACTTTAAGATCCATTGGTGTTGCTGCTACTAAAATCCCCTTAGACTCAGTGTTTATCTGGCCCACTCCAGGATCTGCCACAAATTTGCTGTTTAAAAAGAATATAAAATTACTGTAAAAATAAGAGGCTTCTTTGGAACCTTTCCCTTCTTTCATGTACACATTGCCCAGACTGAGCACTGAATGCCTTCACAGCAGCCAACACCGTGGCTCAGCCCAGCCCTCCTCCTACATAAGGGACTGCATTTTATTTGATGCCCCAATGCAGGTCCCCTCACTGGCATATCTAGTCAGGCTCACCTGTGCATCCCACTGGCCCCAAATTTCTGAGGAAAGGCATTTGTCCTCAGTTCTGACAAGCAACACAAACTCTCCCAAGCCAAGAAAAACATTTCCATCATCCCCCACGAGGTAATGTCCAAGTCCAGAGTGGCTCCAGCCTGAATCGAGCAATTAAATTTGCATCTGCCCCTACCAAACCTCAAAAATGCTAACATCTTGCACGTGTCAAGAGGGTTATTTATAAAACTATTTGCTTGTCAACCCCAGGAGGACATTCTGTACTTTTTTGCTGGAATACTGTATATTTATGAACCATGGCTTGAAAACTAACTTTGGCAGGAATATCTATGGGCAAAAAAATTCTATCAGCCCCTCGCACGGCACAGCCTGAGTTCAGTTACCGCGGCACAGTGGTGGCTGGGCAGTGTCCTGGTAGAGAGCTAGTCCGTGTCTTGCTGTGGCAGAGAATGAGTTCCAGATGTGTTCTTCGTCAGGGGAAGGATTTCAATTTTAGATAAGAGGCTTGTTTTCTTTCTCCCTCTCTTTTTTTTCACTCTAGCGCCTCTATTCCCAATTTTGAATAATTAGTCTTAAACATGAAGAACATGCTGTCTGTTTGTTGCCTGCTGCACCTGATGCTCTAACACCCTGCTCCCTGATCTGGTGAAATCTCCCAGCTTGGAGAGAGAGCTTTCTGAACTCCCAGTTTCAGATCAAGTTATCTGTTCCCAGCGTGTGACACAGAGC